GAGCAAGTGTCAGAGAGGCTGGACCCTTGTGACCCACCCATCCCCACTGGGGCAGAAACCATCTCCCCGCAGCATACACACACACACACCCCGGATGTCCTGCCAGTCTCCAACCCCAGCACAAAACAACCAGGAGCAAAGGGAAGGTAAGTTGTTCTCCTCACTTCCCTGCCCATCCCACCCCTGCAGCCACCCCCTCTAATGTTCAATTTGTGAGAGGGAAAAGAGAAAGGGGGTGTTTCACCCCTGTAGAAGCAGTGCTGCCAGTGCCTATGAAGCCGTCAGGGGTGGGTGCAGTAGGCCCCTTTCCGGGTGGGGTTGCAGAGAGTGACAGGAACTGAGGGGGGTCTGCTGCCTGGGGGGCTGTGTGTGTATGTGTGGGGAGGGGGGGGGTCTCACCTCCAAGATGGTGTCACAGGCAGTGATCTGGTTGTGCAGGGAGGCAATGTTCTTGCTCTCTTTGATGTCTGTGGGATGACCAGGGTCATTCAGGAAACCAACAAGGAAGTTGGGGGGGGACTGGAAAGCCAGCCCCAAGACACAGGGAGGGGGGCGGGGTACCAGAGACATAGCGGGGCACACCCCTCCCTCCAGGTGGAGCCCCCTGTCTGCAGAGCTGGGGATTGGGCAGGGGCACAGAAGACCCCATCCCAAACTCCCCCGGGCGGGGGTAACTGAATCCTCCCCACACCCCGCTTCACGCTAGGCTCAGCAGAGGGTGGTTGAGGGCATCTGTGCGTCTCCTCCAAGGATACAGTCCCGGATGGAGGCATGCTCAATCTGCTGCAGTTCCAGCTCCACCTGCTTGGAGTACTGCCGGAGGTCCACGCCCTGCGCAGGGGAGGGGGTCACACAGGCCGGGGGGGCTGGCCGCAACCAGGGAACAGCAAGGGAGGAGGTGGCAGCTTACCGTCTTCAGCGCCTCCTGCACCAGGGCGTCCTCAAGGTTGGCTTGGATGTGAACTGGGGGTGAGGAGTGGGAGTCAGCGCTGGCCCCACCCCCACCCCACCCCCCTCGCTCCCAGC